AGCTACTCGCCAGAACAATGGAACAATAGGAGGATCGAAATGCACCAATCACAGCCGACCTTTGTGATATAAATGATACCGTGCAATCAGTCGACCTTATCGCCTGAAGAAGACTAGCAGTAAGCAGTCGAAACGTCGCGATCTACATCTACATTTTAAGAACGTCAAATTTCCAAGGGGCAACTGTCAGACTGATGGTTCCGAGACATAAATACTCTATTGTCTTTATTGTTCGCCACTAAATTTTCTTCCGCGCGCCGATTCAAAAATCATATTGGTGGAGGTCCGGCGGCCCGAAGGGCCGCCAAGCGGAGCCCCATACTCATATGGGAAAGAAACGGAAACCCATGAGTTGATTTTCTCATGGTTATCATGGCTAGCAGTATTGCTCGTGGGCGCGTACGCACGACGACGTCGGAGTTGCCCAACATGGTGGCCATACTCCAAATAATAGGTTGACAGAGACATGCAGCTTTGGTTTACCGTGTACTTCTTTGATATTGGACATCCATGTTATGATCAATTGACACCTATCAAAACAAGATATTCGCTGACCAGTATCACGAGACCATATCGCGGGCTCAAGTTTCGAGCTCCTCGAGGTCACGTTTTGTTTTTAAGCTGACCGCTGACCAAGTGCTGGTTATCGATTGGATCGCGGGCTAATATTAGGTTAACTTGTTGGAAACAGGGTAGGATTGTTCGGAAGCCGGTTAACGCTAACCCGGGATTAAAAGTTAACCGAATTATAACTTTTTCTTCTCTACAAATGTTTTTTGCTGTTTTGTTTTGTGTATGTGATGATTATTAAAACTCAAAACAGAAGGCCAAACAATATACAGAAAACCTCACCGCAAAGTTACAAAACTCAAATCAAAATTCTACCTTTTCAACTTTTGAGATGTTAACCGTGACAGCTAAATGTAAAATTTGAAAAACACAACAGAAAAAAACCCTCTAATACAATTTCAATTGTTTATTTTCTACAAGCCCACTTGTTTACAGAAACATTTTCACGGACGAGTAGTATACATCCGGCTATTTTCCGCGAACGGGCACTATAGGCTGTTATAGTTCGCCACTAAATATTCTCCGATTCTTATTGGGTTAAATTGATCACGTGACGCAATAGTGTTCATCTGCGGAGAGACACTATCAGCCCATAGTGGCCATCCGAGGAAACTTTACCCGGGTGGATAGTACTCGTCCGTGAAAGTTTTTCTGTAAACAAGCGGGGTTATAGAAAATAAACAATTGAAATTGTAGTAAGTAGGTTTTTGTCTATTTTCTTTTTCAAATTTTACATTTGGCTGTCACGGCTTTCATCGAAAAAAGATGAAAATAATTCAAGATGATTTCTGACCAGGCGCGCGGAAGAAAAGTTAGTAGCGAACAATAAAAACAATAGAGTGTCTATGTCTCGGAACTATCTGATAGTTGTCCCTTGGAAATTTGATGTTCTTAAAACTGGCATATTTTCCCTCGAAGCGGGGCAACTGTCAGCGGAGAGTTCCTCGACAGAAACACTCTATTGTTTAAATAGTGTCTCTCCGCGGACGAACACTATCCCGTTACGTGATCAATTTAAAACAATCAGAATCGGAGAAAATTTAGTGGTGAACTATAATCTGTGATAGATAGTGAGTAGCGTAGCAGTGTGCCCTTGTTAACAAAATGACGGCCGCTTCTTGGTGTTTTCGAAGTGTCTGTGAAGAGGATTTAGATATGACTAGTAGATTTATACTAAATCAAATAGATTATTCGCTCTCGATTTCTATACGTGATAGTTGCCTCAGGCTGCGCCCTCGTCAACTATCACGCGATAGAAATCTCGAGCTCATAATCTAATCCCCTTGCTTGGTGGTCTCAAAAAAAATTATATGGCCTGATTTTCACTACGACATAAGCACAAGCATGAGCATGCATAAGTGTGGTGAGGGCGCGCACAACACAAGCATGAGCACAAGAGGAACATAGTTTTTTGTTCTTCTTGTGCTTGTGCTTATGTCAAGTGACAACGCCCTGCTGTACGCAAAAGCATAAACATCGTCTGCCACTGATCCTGTTTACCGTATCGGGGAGGTAATTACCGAAAAAAAAATGTAATTTTTCATTCTGCACGTGGCTACGTGTTTATGCTTGTGATGTGAGCGTCCTTTCGCGTATGCTTATGTTGTGGGCGTCGTCACTACCACTATGCCTATACTTGAGTTTATTCTTATGTCATAGTGAAAACCACAATCACTAGAAGAAATAAAAAACGTCTGTTTCGCTTGTGCTTGTGCTTGTGTTGTGCTCGTCCTGGCTCGCTACCATGTGCCTATGCTTGTGTTGTGGGCGACCTCCCTACCATGTGCTTATGCTTGTGCTGTGGACGTCCTCACTACCGTTATGTTTATGCTTGTTCTTATTTGGTAGTGAAAACCTGCTTTTATATATAGTGTAGTCTTTTCGCCCAGGAGTATAATAAATAGGTACTGATCAATAGTTGGGGACATTCAGAGAAAGTGCGGCGAGCTTATTATGGATAGCTATCAACTAGTGGTTGACTTACGAGGTCTTACACATTCTTTGATTTGATCGTCTTGAGACTGATAAATGAATAAACTAAAGAAACAAACTGTAAGGGGAATGCCAGGAGCAGATGCTGAGCAGTTCTGCACCATAACTTCTGAATGCATCATATTTTCATAATCTCAAACAAGAAATCTATTGAATTTTTCAAATATGAGCTCTTTGCGATTTTCACCTGAGAATAGTAATAGCAGTAACTTCAAACAGTACATCTAGTCAGTGATTACAAATATTCCAAGTTCATCGTGATTACACCACTCAAAAGACTCTCAGAGGTCCCAGGAAGTTTTATCCAAACATCTAGCTTGACAAAGGCTTGGGAAAAGAAGATGTGCTCTCAAATTTCAGTTCGACAGGAACATCCCTTACAAGATAATGGCTTTCTATTTGCAGTTTAGATTATTAAACGTCTCCCAAAGTCGCTATGACTTCTCGATTAATTCTGCTCAAATAGCCCAAAGATGACTTACGTATCCCCAACTATCCCAACGTAACGGACGTATGAACCAAGAGAGGTCAGTATAGTCATAAAGTTAATTATGTCGTCTTATCAAAGAAAAAAAAAGATCGGAAAAGCTAAAACATAATTAAACTGTCACATCCTAACTATTATCTCTTCCTTTGTTCAAAGAGACTCTTAAGAGGTCCAGGGAAATTGTATCCAAACATCTCAAAGTTGGCACTGTACAAGCGCCCAAGGATTTCGATCCATTTTACGGGAATTTTCGAGTAATAACTGAGCATAGAGGAGGCGGTACTGGATTTATTATTAGCTCGAGCATCGAATCTCTTTGCCTGTTGGGGCGATAACCCTGCAGCCTCTTCGAAATCTGCCAAGTCTTGATCGAAAGTTTCGTAATGACCTATAAAGTCATAGTTGACGGCACACATTCCACATATGTTGACGTAATTGTCCCAGTGCCAATTCATAACAGGCGTACTTTTGCTGCTTCCTTTGGTTACTAAATATTCAATGAATTCACGAAAAGTGATGTCATCAAGCTTATCAAGTGCGCTCTTGGAAGCGTTTGGACGAACGGTTCTCAGAATTGCTGTGCCGTGAAGTTGAAGTTTTTTGCGGGGAAATCTTGGATAAACGAACTTGTCTTTGTATGCGGACAGAATGCGCTCGAACGGCTCACGAACAAACGTAAACTTGAAATACTTTTCCCACTTTTGCTTTTGCTCCTCGGGAGGATACCGACTTAGTAGAAGCGCTCTTTTCCTCATGTTTGAAAATGAATAGAGCATTTCTCTCCATTGCCTGGAAGCCACTTTAGGTGTTATACAGTAGAGCACTTTAAGAGACGGAATCACTATAATGTGAGAAGGGTCTGGCATGAAATTGTGTCCAGTCTTTTTGCAAAACGTCTCAACCAGTTTTCTGCGTTCGTTTTGTCTTAACTCCCTTGGAGAGCGGAAATGATATGATCCCTGTGAATGAAACAAGAACTAATTAGTTTGTCATTTTTAAATTCGAACGGAAAAATTTCCAGAGGTGATATATGTCAATTTGTAATACACTAGGTCACTGAACCAAAGCAAAAATATCCTACTAGATCTAGACTGAGAATTCTGGCCTTGAATATGCAATCATGTGGCCATAGTATTCAAGAGTATTCAAGGCCGCAAAATAGGCAAAAAGCAGGTCAGGAGGCAGGCTAGAAAACAGTCCAGTTTCTAACAGGAAATTACAGCTGCATTTCATGTCAACCGTTCCCGAATACCTCAGAATATTATGGTAGAAGCGTCGTGTTTTGATCAAGGTTGGATTTTACGCCATGGATTGGCTGGTGAAATAAACGATTTTCATCCGTTAAGCTGTATATGATATATATTTGGCCGTATCCTCTATTTCTCATTTTCTAAGATTACTAAGTACCACAACATCCCAAAAGCAATTAGTAAACGAAATGGAAAACATTGTTCATTTTTCACATTGAAACGCGTGCCATCTGGTAAGTAACTAAATTTGACTCAACCTGTGCAAATAGCAAATGTTCGGGACTAAACTCACCCCAATACAGATTGGGCCACGAATCGTTATACAGAGCTTTGCAATGACGTCACAACTGAAGTACAATTAAAATCCGACTTCTTTTTGCGTGAATGCTACTTCACGATTGCATGGCGTCACGATTGCAAACTCGAAACTATGGCCCGGTCCACATTACGCCGGAGAAATTTGAAAACGGCTTTTTCACTCTGAAAAAGCCATAAATGCATCACTGGTCATTTGGATTTGGGTTTGAGGAAGGCCAAGGCTGGGAAATCACATGATTATTGCAACGTCATCGTTTTCGAAAAAGTCCGTTTTAAAAATGTTTTGTCCACAATAAAACGCAAAGCCAGCGTATTCAAATTCCTCTAGTTTGAAGATTGTTTTCGAAAAGCCCCGATTAGTGTGGACGGTATCCTAACCGTAGAAATAGAGCTGCGTTTTCAAATTTCTCCTCCGTCGGGTGAACATGACACTTTACTCTCACAGTGCCTTTCTTCACCTAGGTGTATAAATGGGTACTGGTAAATTTAACGCTGAAGGTGACCCTGCGATGGACTAGCATCCCATCCAGGTGGAGTAGAAATACTCCTAGTCGCTTCATGCTAGAGAAAGCGGGGTAAGCTCCGGCCTGATGGGCCACTTGGCTCGTATGCAGACTTAACCAAGGGTGGAGGGGGCTCAAAATACTCACTAGGATATTCTCGCTTTGGTGTAATGACTTTATTTGTTAGATGCATACACGTTCGTTAATTGATCGTGCTTACTTAGCTCCCAGCCGCAACGTGTTTAAATAAAGTGTTGATTGATTGATTGATCGATCGATTGATTGATTGATTGACTGATTGACTGATATTTATTTATTTATTATTATTATTATTATTATTATTGATTGATTGATCGATCGACTGATTGATTGATTGACTGATTGATCGATCGATTGATTTGCACCAGTTTTAGTACCATACCTGTAGAGTCTGTACATTTGAAACCTTGAGACTTGGCTCTAAGAAATAAAGAAAACACAGAAAGGATTATCATCTGTGTGGAGGCAGCATCGTCGAGCGGGTTAGTAACACGGGAGGGGGGGTGGGGACGACTCTGACGTGGTGTGATTACATTGTGGTATCGTGCGCACTTAAAACATTGTAAAACTGTCTCAACAGTTTAGTCCAGGGATGTCCACCAAAATGCCGCTCATTAATATTTGCATGAGTCTGGGATTGAGAGCTCAGGTCGATTGTGCGCTAGAAAAAGGCAAGATCAGGAGACACTAACTTCCTATATATTGCCTAAAAGTCTAATTTTTTGTTACTTGGTTTTGTTTAGCGATATATCGCTGCGGAACAACGGTATCTCGATGAGCAAAAACGATATTTTGCTAAGCTGTGGCGATGTTTCGTTAGATGGAAACGATGTATCGCTCAGTGCAAACGATAAATCACGAAGGACTCAGCGAAATATTGCAACAGTCCTTATATCCAGTCGTACCTTTTCGTATCAAGCAAGTCTGGTCAAGCGATAGTGCGTATTTTGGCGAGACCAAGAGTACCAAAAAGGTGCGATGAGGTATTTACTGTATCCAAATTCAAGTGAGCATGATATCATAGCCACATCATGAGACGACTTCTGATTGGCTAATTGCGAATTTGTGTACGGCAAACATCAATAGCTTCCCATTTCTTTTCGCGATATATCATTTCATGTAAAATATCATTAAAATATCACCGATTAATCGTGATTATCGTGGCATTCGTCAATTCTGGCTTACATTTTTTTGCACAGTACTGTATTTGTTAGTAGCCGTAGTAGTGTAATGATAATAATAATAATAATAATAATAATAATAATAATAATAATAATAAATGGGCAGTGGGGTAGGACAGGCCGGTGCCTTAGCCTACTTCGGGAAGATGGACGTTCCCGCCCACCATAGTCTGGGGTGGTGTCTTTGGCAAGCACCAGTAACCCCAAAGCCACCCCTGTTAG